AGATGGTCGTGGAGGGCATGGGGTAGGTCCACGATGAGCCCGACTGAGAAGACTGCAATCGATGGCGTCCTTAGCGACGCGAAGCGCACGTGGGGTCTCATTTCGCCGATCATGGCATCGGTAGCGCAGGCCCAGGCCGAGCTGGCTGCATAATGTTGCCGTCGGCAGTTCTAGATCCAGCCGCCTCTCCTTCTCGTTATTCGTGATGTGTGTGCATGTGCGTTCTGCCTATATAGCACGGTGGTTGTGAGCAATATTTCGTCTATTGCGTCATATATGTGCTCTGGCAATGCAATCACGGCTGCCGCGCGCACGTATCATGTTTGTCTATGTGTTGTGTGCTCTGGAAATACAAACACGATTTCGGTTCGCAATTATTGGTTGGCCACTGTGGTCCTGGAAGCGCGATTTGCGTTATTGCATTGCCAACACGTTCGGTGGAAGTCAGACAGATCGAGTCCGTTCCCTTCACTCCTGGCCGCGCGGATCTGCGAAATTCAGGGGCCCTCCCGCCAACGATGTGCAATCGGTTTCAGCTGTTTGCGGGCCCGACCTGTGTCGGGATAGCGCGAAAGACACTCGAGTGAGAGTGCGATGGCGCTCGGGACAAAGGAAACACGTTGCTGCTCTGCATGTGACACCGTCCCCCTTTCGATTGATGCCCGACTATCGGGGTTACATTGCTGTTGATGGTGGCGGGGATGGCCTGTATGCCAGAGCATGTGTTCCAAATGCGTTGGGGTTGCACGCTTGCACTGTTTGCGGGGGAAGGGGCACTCGGTGTCCGATGTCGTGGGGTGATAGGTGACGGCACCATGTCTGAATGGGCACTCGACCGAAAGATTGGACCCCATAACTGTGCATGCAAGCGTCTTCGAACTTCGACCTTCCAACTGTGCCTCCAAGTTTCCGTCACTACTGCGTGGCGCGCTATCATACCCAGACCCCCTGGAGTCTTGATTTGTTTCACGCCGCTATCGTATATGATATAGATCACATATATATATAGATATATGTGTATATATAATATCGTCCTGATGGGAGGGGTGGTGGTGGAAGTTTAGTTCATCAGAGGGGGGAGGCAATCGTGCATCCTATTGCCAATGTTGACAATAAGATGCCCGATGCAGGACAGTGGTACTGTGCTGCGTCGTTCTGATGGCGGACGTGCCAATTGAGCAGGGTGTACTTGAGTGTACCATGAGTTGTGCATTGAGGGGGTGGATGTGCATACACTTGCATTGCAATGTTTGATGTTGCAGTGAGGGGTCGGATCCGTAGCACTCACTTCTATCAAGTAGATATGAAGGTTGCTTTTGTTGTGTTCGTTTGCCGCGTACTTCTCATGAGTGCCAGGGCGGGTGTCGCTCGGTCGATTCTTGAGGAGGATGGCGATGTCACTTGGGATAATGATCAAGGTGCGGGTCTTCGCAAGTACCTTCTAGAAAGGTACAAGGCAGGCACGCTCACGGGGGTCGACGTGGCAACTATCAGTTACCACTGCATGAGAGCAGGGGGGACAGGGGTTGGAGATCTGGCGTTGGATCCCGCGAGGTCGGGGCATGCAGCCGAGCACGTGCGACAAGTGCTCAACGAACGCCCTGCCGTCCAGTTGTATACAGTGAATGTGATGCTAGATGCTACATTGATTTTCCGTTTGTTTTGCCACACGATTTGGTTGCTTACCATGTGAGTAAAAATCCAAGGCAATGGGATCCTTTGAGTTACGATGTGGACATGCTGCCAGTAGGTTGGGCGAACCACGATGTGGTCCGAGAGTGCCCAGAAAAATCGACGCCTTTAGGTTATTTCTCTGACGCGGTGCCCCATACAAAGCGTGATAGTTTTTACTGTTATTACATGAGCTCAGGTCTTAGCCAGACACGGTACCTGCTCTGCACCTTGCGCAAGCAGGACTTGTGCAAGTGTGGCTGTGGTGGGAATTGTAATTTCGGTTTGATCCAGCGTGTCCTGAAGTGGTCTTTTCAAGCTGTGGCCGAAGGAAAATTCCCAGGACGAGATCACAACAACATGCCTTTTAGCTGTGACAGGGCGCTCTGGCGTGGATTTGACCTCGCCCAAGGGTGGAGGGGAACCCTGACTGAGATCCGGATGGATCTCCTCGAAGTGACGGGCGCGCTGGGTTTCAAAACCTGGCAAAACCCTCGCAACCCGTGCTTCTGCTGCGACGTGCGCAAGGAAAATTTGTTTCAGTATCCAGTGGCTATGCATCAGCTCCCATGGAACCTGCGAGACAAGGCAAGATACCAACTGATGCTGGATAATTCGGTCAAGGACGTCCATGTAGCAACAGAAGAAGCCCTCAATCGTTTACTCAAGAATTTGAAGATCGATGAGAAGGCTGGAGGACTGGTCACACAGCGCGTGCTCCCTGAATTCAACTTACCGAAGGGGTGCCGTTTAATTGAGAACGACGACGCGCCTGACATCCATCGCCTGAGCGAGGTCCAAACACCAGCGGATCTGATCTTCTTTAACGCAGTGAATGATCAAGGTCTGGATCGCGTGTGTGCTCTGTTTCAAATCCCTGGCGTGTCTATCCATACATTGATGTTGGATGGCATGCACATTATGGATTTAGGAGTGACGCACTATGTGATTGCCAAGTATTTATTTATTGATCAAGAACAAGTTTGCTCAGTCTGGCAAGGGCAGAAAAGCGCAAAGGTGGCACGACAACGTGCTTGCACTTCGGCGCAGAATACGGTCGTTCTACGTTTTCACTGGAGCAAACAAAAAGAAAGGGGCTAAGAGCATGATCGGCAGATTGACTTTAAAAATGTTCATGCCTGCCACGCAGGGGAAGATTCCACGGCTCAAGGCCAAAGCGGCCGAGACGAGAACCTTGGTGCCGCTGCTCCCCATGCTTTGTCGTGAATTCCTTGGGTATCTCGGCCCGCGCAAGGCGTCTCTTGTAGTTGCATGCGGGCACCTGGCCACTGTGTACAAGTGCATCAGGGCAGAGGGTCGCCATATGCAGGCCACGGCTGCGCATACCCTTCATAAGCGAGATGGGACCGCGCATGGGGCGCATGCCACGTCATGGATGGGACTTCGATCCCTCGTGCGCCACGTTCATATTGGATTCGCCTTGAACCCTCTGTTGCCACGTTCTTGTTGGATTCGCCTTGAACCCTGTTGCCACGTTCTTGTTGGATTCGTCTTGAATCCTCTGTTGCCACGTTCTTGCTGGATTCGTCTTGAACCCTCTGTTGCCACGTTCTTGCTGGATTCGGTTTTTGTCGGCTTGGGTTTCGCCTCTGTTGCCACGTGTTCGCTGGATTCGGGTCAAGTCGGCTTGGGTTTCGCATGTTGGGCGGGCGCACATGCATGTTTCCTTCTCGCTGCAGACGAGCATGCTTGCATTTTTGCGTGCATGGAAGGAGCACAGAGGGCACGAAGTGTTCAAGTTTTACGTCGCTGTTCACCTTGCCCAGCAAGTCGCCGAGAAGGGCAACCCAAAGGCGTACTGGACATACCCCGACGAAGCAGAGAATCGATTGATGCAGAAAATTGCCAAGTCCCTCCATGGCGGTTCGACTTTTTATTCTGCGTTTTTCGAGAAGGTCCTCCCTGAGATCTGATCTCGGGGGGCCGGATCGGACTACGCACAATAAAATATCGACCGCTGGAGAAAAGGGGGGGCTCGGCCGCTTTCTGCGTTCACCGATTCCTGCTTTTTCGGGGTTGTCCAGGCGTCTTGAGGGACATGATGTGATGACGCTTGTTTTGAATTATAGGATGGTGATGAGGATGGTGATGATGATGGTGATGTTGGTGTTTATGATGCTGGTGATGATGATGATGATGATGATGATGATGATGATAATGATGATGGCAGTGCTATTGATGATCATCGATGGTGACGTTAACTGGTACTGAGGACGTTACTTGGACGAGGGTTTCCCTTTTCGAGCGCCTGCTGCGGCTGAACGACAGAAGCCTTGTCGATCGCCTGCAAAACACGTGAGCGTGGGAGTGGGGTCGGCATGCAGCAGGGCACAAGCACAGGGCGCAGCTCCGAAGCCAGGTTTCGGGCTCCTCGTCCGCTTGCTCGTCCTCTTCCTCGTCGTCCTCATCCTAGTCCTCTTTCGCCTTCTTGCTCCTTTCCTCTTTTTCCTCCCCACACCCCGAGGGTTTTGCTTTCCGCCCGCCTGGGGAACGGATTCCGACCAGGAGCAGGGCCCAACAAGCAGGAGCAGGGACAACTCCTCCTCCTCCTCCTCCTCCTCCTCCTCCTCCTCCTCCTGCTCCTCCTCCTCCTGCTCCTCCTCCTCCTGCTCCTCCTCCTCCTCCTCCTCCTCTTCCTCCTCCTCCAACCCCTCGGCCCGACATCGATATATCGACGTGCAGTTTGTTCGTTGACAGATGGCCCACATGGGCGTGGCTAGAGGAGCCGAGGATTCACGCGCGATGGCAAGGGCCGCCGCCGCCGCCGCCGCAACGGCCCCCGCGGGGCCCCATCCCAGGGCCGAGCGGCGATGATCGACCGATCGATTTTCGATATCGCCGCTAGCGGCTCTAACACAGAAGCCCCTCGGGAGCAACGACCCCGAAACGATATAGGACAGCGCACCACAGGCGAGACCGTGGCGCCCAAATATCACGACAACTGTATATTGAGGACTCCCCATGTTCATGTTCCTGCCCGTCCTCTTTGCCCTGCCCCTTGTCCTCCCCTCCTCCTCCTCCTCCTCCTCCTCCTCCTCCTCCTCCTCCTCTTTCCCCTCCCTCTCTTCCTCCTCCTCCTCCTCCTCCTCGCTGTTGGCTCGGCCTGTAGGCCATGGCGCAGCGCGTGGGCAGTAGGCCTATTCATCAACGTTCGAATTCTCGCTGAATTGAGCTATTTCCGATTTTCTCGTGTCTTGTTTTTTTTTTTTTATAGCAAAATTGTTTTTTCCATGACGTCGTGATTTAAAAACAAGACAAGACCAGGCGTCGTGAAAAAATCACGACTCCTGGGGGTCTGGGCTTTCTGCTTCGGGAATGTGCTCTGCAGCAGCGAGACAGGGCCACTCAGGCCCGGTCACGCCTCTCTCCCCGCGTAGTTGAGGGGGCCAGCCACGGCGCGCAGCGCTGAGATCTCCTTCTCATTGCACGTCTCGTTTCGTTCAGCATGGCCCTCCGGGCCGCCGGAATGTTGGTGAGCTCGATATCCTCCACCATGCTCTTTGGACTGACCTTGACGGACTTGTCTGGCCTCTGCTCCAGCTGCTCGCCCAGAAAATCTAATTCCCCCCCCCCCCTGTGCATGCCGAGCGGGAACCTCAAAGTGATTTTCTCCATGGCCTTCTGGGAGTACTCGTCGCCCCTACTACGGGCGTCGTCGACAGCCAGGGCCGGGGGCCCGCAGTGCTTGCCGTCTGCGTGGAGGCACAGCAGAAACGGGTCGTAGGAGACGGGTCGTAGGAGCTCACCTTGAACCCCGCATTGATCGCCTCGGTCGCGAAGCTCTTGTACCACCGGAGTGGGGCATCCCCCAGGCCGCAGACGCAGACCAGCACCTCCACTAGGGGGCCCGGCTCAGCCCCGGGCACACAATATGATGGCAGTTCGCAGCATAGAGGTCCCTGCTTGCGATGGCATTCTCGGACGGCCAATTTAGCTGGAGCCTCCTGGACGCAAATGGGAGTTAGGGTGATGCGGGCGGACTCGGGGGGACTCGTAGATTCCAGCGGCGCTCCTTTGTCCATGATGATTTGTTTTCCTTTGTTTTCCCTGGAATCCACGCGCGCTCCATTTTGTCACAAGGATTCCTTCTGAAATTCTACACACAACAATGGTGCTGTGTTGCACGCGGCTGATGTGGTGCACACAGGCGCTGCGGCGTACACAGGCACTGCAATGCACGCAGGCATTGTGGTGTACACTGGTGCTGTGTTGCGCACGGCTGATGTGGTGCACGGAAGCGCTGTGGTGTACACAGGAGCTGCTGTGCCCGCAAGCACGGTGGCACAAACTGACGCTGTGTTGCACGCGGCTGCTGTGGTGTACATCGGAGGCGCGGTGTACACAAGCGCTGTGGTGCACGCGGGCACTGTGATGTACACAGGCGTTGTGTTGTATATCGCCACCTACATGTTCGTGCTACCCGTCCTCTGTCATGCCGCCGGGTCATGCCTAACCATTCCCAAACGCCGCCGGCGCGAAACGTGACGTCATCGACCCCGTCCCCCCCAAATGATTGCCGTCACCAGTCTGGACTTACAAACATGCTTCAGCCGCGTCCGCGCGCACGACGACGATGAGCGACGAGCGACGAACCACGAGCGACGACGACGAACGACGACGACGACGACGACCCCCGCGGACCAGACACCTATGCGGATTCCTACGCGGACACCTACGCGGATCCCAATGCGAAGCGCGGCAGTGCCCGGAGCGCACTGGGGGGGGAGCGTTACGTCATACGGGGCGGGGGGGAGCGGGGGCCATGACGCCCGTCATGCCCCAAGCAAGAAAGAAATGGCCTCTTGACCGCGTCGAACAACTCTTCCTGGTCCTCTTCGCTCAGGATCGGCTCGGTGAGGCGGATCTGGTAGTGCGTCCTCTTCCACCGCTGCCCCGCGTTCTCGGTCTTCCCATTCTGGCACTCGCTCTCGGCGCCCACCGGGCCCAGCTCAGCCGCCTCGGCGCTGGCCCTGTCCGCGAAGACGCCTTGGATGGCGCCCGTCCGGGTCGCTGATGAGGCGCTTCGGGCGCCCGCAAGGGCGCAGCCAGAACAAGCGGTAGGCCCTGCGTATCGAATGGCTCTCGCGATCGGGGAGCCTCACCACCGCCTGCCGACCGGTGCCCCAGTCCAGGATGTTGAGGCATGGCGTGGTCTCATTGGGTTTGTCCTGGCTGTCCCAGGTCGTAAACTCGAAGCTCGGGTCGGCAGCCTCGAAGGCGGTGTAGAGCGCGGACGCTTCGTGGCATCGCAGACATCGCACTTCCCGATAACTTTCTTCATCGTCCAGTAGCTCCGGCTTCGCCTTCTCCACGTTGAGAACGAAGGTCGTGCGCCTCAGGTCCGCGCGCCCGAGGTTCGCGTGGACCCTCCTCGCGACCGTCTCCCAGGTCTCGCCCCCGGGGCCGACGGCAGTCGCGTCGCACATGGCCATCGCCGCGTTCCTCTCGCCAGCCTCCTTCTCGACGTTCTTGTTGATGACCCAGCAGATCGCCCGCGCGAGGTTCGGCGGGTAGAACTGCGACCACCTCAAGATCTCCTGAAACTTCCCCTCTGCGCCCCGCTGGCTGGCGAACGCGGTGGCGCGGTCGTGGTCTCCCGTGCATCTCCTCTCGAGGTCCTCGGGATGGTCTGACGTCGCGAGGATCGTCGTCGGCTTCTTGAGCAGTCTCTCTCCACTCGGGCCCTTCTGGCAGTAGGCGCACTGGTCGAGCGCGATCCCTCACCCTCGGGTCCTTCATTAGTCTCCTCATCTCCGCCAGTGCCCAGCGTCCAACTGCATCTTTGCGATCCTGATCGCGAACCGTAGAAAAATCAGCGCCTCCTTGTACCACTTCCCCCAGTCCTCGGCCCTCTTGCTGGCGCTCAGGCGTCGCAGCGCACAGAAAATCTGGCGCGGCGGGGCAAGTCCCACCACCTTGGGCCTCCGCCGCTTGACCTCCGTCGGGGCCCACATGCGGTCTTCCTTCTGCCTGCAGTCCCGGCCCGTCTCCAGGTCGAGGGACAGATCCCCGGCGACCTCCCCCTTGTTCCCCGGGCCGAGCACCCGCGGCGGGGGGGAATCTCCACCAGGTCGTCGGTCCGGTCGTGCGCGGTGAAGCTACTCGTCACCGCGCCGTTCCCTGCGAACAGGATCTGCTCGGGGGCGTGGGCTGCCATGTCCCGGATCATGCGCTTCCACTCGCTGGGCCTGATGTCCCTGGTCTTCGGCTCGGCTGGCCGGTACCAGAAGTCCGTCGCGATGTCCCTGATGCCTTTGCCGTCTGGGAACTCATAGAGCCAGGGCAGGTCGCTCGGGTCGTCGCCGCGAACGATCTCCGTTCGGTCGAGGATCTTCTGGGGGTGCCGCTTTCGAGTGATCCTCCACTTCGCCTGGCTCCACGACGGTTCGTTCCGCGGACGGTGCGAGTCCGCGCTGCGCTGTCGTGCTTCACGTAGGAGTTCAAGCCGCTGCGTCCTCCAAAGAATTTGCCGAGGTAGCTCTCTTCCGACTCCCCTCCGCCATCCTGGTGCCCGGCGACTCCGGTCTCCGGGCCCTCTGGACCTTCGCGTTCGGTCGACTGTAGCCGCTCGGCGCCTGGGATGCGGCGTGCCGCCCCGTCTTCTTCTTCATGCCCGCGTGCCGCTGCATGTCGAGGAAGGTCATGATGCGCCGCGTCGCCTCGTTGGCGCGCGTGGCCTGCGTCTGGAACCAATCGCAGTAGCCCGGGTCGTGCTGGTAGACCTCCAGGAACGTCTTCCTCTTGCGCTTCTGCCCGAAGGTGATCTTCCGGCTCGCCCAGGCTCTCGCGACCACCCACCAGTCGCTCGCTCAGTTTCGCGCCGACACGGCGGAAGGCCTCCTGCAGGTCCACCACTCGCGGGCCCGCTGCTACGTCCGGCAGGGGAACGTTCCGCGGCTCGCAGAGCTCCACCAGGTGTTACTTCACGGTCGGCATGGCGCTGGCGACCCACATCAGGCGCCGCGCAGGCTTCCTCTCGGATGCCGTCGAGGCGTCCTGGACCTCCGCCACGAGCTTCACCCCCCAGTAGCGCCGGGGCCTACGGTAGGCGGAGCGCAAGAGCTGGGCTTGCCCAGCGGACCAGCGCAGCAGCAACACATAGTCCACGAGGTACGCCCATTGCCATGCTCCGCATCGCCTCTCCGGCATCCGCTGGGCGAGTGTGGAAATTGGAAGTTGAGCTGGCTGGATGAGAGATCTCCGCCCCGGGCCTAAGCGACTGCAGGTCGGACGGTTCGGGTTTGCGCGGCGTGTTTGTCTCTGGGTCGATCGGCCCTCGCTCGGCTCACGGTTGCGCTCTTCGTCGGGACTATGCTCGTCCTCGTCGGCTCAGTCTTCGCACTCGAGCCGGTTGAGCTCGCGCTCGAGCCTGTCAAGCTCGCGCTGCTCGCAAGCATCGCCCCCGAACCGGCGAAACTCGCGCTGCTCGCAATCGACTTCCTCGAACCCGTGGACCTCGCACTGCGCGCAATCTGCGCCCTCGAACCCGGCGGTTTCGAGCTCGGCGTGGTCGGTGTCGCTTCTAGTTTAGGTCGAGCAGGAGCAAGCGCAATAGCGGTCTCTCCTTTTATCCTGGGCAATCGGGTCGTCGGAGACACATGCGATTTCCGTCGCCCATGTCTCTGCGAGCCAGGGCCCCTGGGAACCTCTGGCTCCAAAATCACACAAAAGCAGGCGCCGCTGCATCGTCTTCGGGTTATCCCGGGAGCGCCGAAGAGCCACCGAAACCAACGGAGTCTCAAGGGTCAGCGCCCCTCTAAACGCGTCTATGATTTCCGACGGGCCCTCCAGCAAGCCGTCTGAGATCTGCGGGGGGGCCCGCCCGGGTTCCGCGCGAAACTTCAGGGCCCCGATTCGCCCCCCGAAACCGACGGGATACTCGGCAACCCAGTTGGACTGGGCCGACTGACCGCTCGCGAAGTGGAAGTTCCTGCAAACGCATTGGGCGCGCCTGATATTCAAGCCGATTGGCCTCCGCAAAGCGAAACCGTGCATCGCAATCGTGAGATCCCCAACGATTAGAGCACCCCGTATCTACCACGCCCTCGAGTACCCCCATGAGCTGCGCAGCTGAAAAATGATGCATCCGAAGCTGGGTCTGCTGGAGACAGCCCCGAAACTTCTGTGGACCCATCTCAACTCCCGCGGGCGCTGGCTCTGCGGTAGCACTGGAGGCTGCCTCAGGAGCCCCCGCGGCCTTCCGGCGAGCTCTCGCCGTGAGCAAGCGCTCGCGGTTCTTGATCTTCGCGAAGTCCTCTGTCAGGTTGAGCTCGGCCTGGCCTCCTGGGATCTGCTCCGTGGCCTCCATCACCAGCGCCCCTGTCTCGTCGGAGTCGAAGACGTGGGCTGGCTCCTCGTCCGGGTCGGACCCCTGGGCCTCGAAGACCGCCTTGGCGCGCTCCTCTCTCGGTTTCGGCGGGTTCGCGCACTCCCTCAACCAGTGGCCGGTCTGGCTGCTCTGGTAACAGCGGGGGCGACGCTTCAGCTCATCGATCTTCTTCTTCGCCTTCCTGTGGTACTCGGGATCGCCCTTGCCAAGGTCTCCGCCCCTAGGCGGCATCGCATCGCGATGTCCTTGGGACGTCTTGCGATTTCGAACCACTCGGCGGGCGTCCTGCCATGCTCCGCGCCCTCCTGGCCCTGCTTGCCACGCTGCCAGCACCGCATGGCCTCGTGCTCATCGAGGCTGTCTTCTCGGGGAGTATATCCTTCTTCGTCCGACCGCCCTCTAACACGTGCAGGGCGTGGGCGGTCCTCGTCCTCCAGGTACTCTTCCTCGTCCACGTGGTAGGCTCTGGCTGGGCGGCTCTGCTGCGCTCCGTCGCCCTGGTAG